GTGTGAATGAGTGGATGATTGAGTGAGTAGGTGAGTGAGTGAATGAGTGGGTGGGTGAGTGAGTAGGTGAGTGAGTGAATGAATGAGTAAGTCGGTGTGTGTGAATGAGTGGGTGGGTGAGTGAGTAGGTGAGTGAGTGAATGAATGAGTATATCGGTGTGTGAGACAAAGGCGGCCGGGCGGGCGTGGTGCTGGCCACCCACCCACCCAGCCCCTCCCTCGTGTTGCCGTGCCGGCCTTCACAGGGCGCTGCTACTCGCTGCACTTGGCCCCAACACTCCGCGAAGGCTACACGGGGGATCTTTGTCTTTGTGCGCCAGCAAACGCTCAGGTCCAACGATGAGGACGGTCGGCTACGTACGGTGCGAAAGAAGTTCAAACAACACAAACAACAACAACAACTCTAGATTTGAAGCTTTCGTGACTGCAAGGTTATATATTCTTAGGTCTTTCGGTAAAGTCACGTAGGCAAAAAATTAAAATTAATAAAAATAAAATAAAAATGAAATAAAAATAAAATAAAATAAAATAAAATAAAATAAAATAAAAATAATAAAATCACGACGTTTCTTACTTGATACAGCAATCGTGCTGTGACGGTTCCACCCGAAGACGGAAGCTTGTGTTGACTTTTATTTTATTTTTATTTTACTTTTATAAATTTTTATTTAAAACTTTTACCTACGGGACTTTACCGAAAAAAACCTAAGAACAACAACAACAACCGCTATTCACCACGGCGCTTGTGCCAGGCTAGGTGCACGGTTGAGGCCACGTGGTCCACGCGTGAACTCGCGGCTGAGACGAGATTCGGATTTCGCGGAATTGTGGCGTGGGCGTGGATCGATAGTTCATCAGTCGCAGGGGTTTACAGTCCCCCACTCAGCCACCCGCCCACCAATACACTCACCCGCCCACCAATACATCCACCCACCAATACACCCACCCACCAATACACTCACCCACCCACCAATACACTCACCCACCAATACACTCACACACCAACACACTCACCCATCAATACACTCACCCCTTAACCCACCAATACACTCACCCACCAATACACTCACCCATCAATACACTCACCCACCAATACACCCACCCACCAATACAGTCACCCACCCACCCACTAATACACTCACCCACCCACCAATACACCCACCCACCAATACAGCCACCCACCAATACACTCACCCACCAATGCACCCACCCACCAATACACTCATCCACCCACCAATACACCCACCCACCAATACACCCACCCACCAATACACTCACCCACCACTACACCCACCCACCAATACACTCACCCACCCACCCACCAATACACTCACCCACCAATACACTCACCCACCCACCAACCAATACACCCACCCACCAATACACTCACCCACGTACACACCCACCCACCCACCTACACACCCACCCACCCACGTACTCAACACGAGCGGTAAGGCGAATCGAACCACCACCACCACCACTACACGCGACCCAAATGCCCAGCAGCTGCTGCTGGGGGGGGGGGCAGAGGGGGAGTGGGGGGGGCAGAGGGGGAGTGGGGGGGGCAGAGGGGGAGTGGGGGGGGGAGATGTTAACTACCTCGCCTGGTGTGCAGGAGGTCGTGGGTTCGATCCCGACCGAGACGACGCCTGCTGCTGGATATTATTTTGGAGTGTGCGTGTCTCTCTCTGTCTCTCTCTGTGTCTCTCTCTGTGTCTCTCTGTGTGTCTCTCTATCTGTCTCTTTGTCTCTCTCTGTCTGTCTCTCTGTCTGTCTCTGTCTCTCTATCTCTCTGTCTCTCTCCGTCTTTCGTGTTGTGCGCGCTGCAGATAGCGCCACGCCGCGTGGATGTATAGCGTTGATTCGTCTGTTTGCTGGTGACTTTGTGTGTTTCATATCGGAATCGCCGCCAGTGCTGTTGCTGCTGGCGGCAATAAAAGTTGTTTAAAAGTTAAAAGTCTCTCTAACTCTCTCTCACTCCCCCCCCCCCCCCCGTGGTCGCGTGGATTCTTCTCCGGGTCTTGCTCCCGTTTATTTTTTCCCCCTTCCCACACTTGAGAATGGACATCATCAGCACGCGTTCAGAGTTGTTTGCAAACGTCCACGTGATGATGATGATGAAGACGAAGACGATGCCAACTGCCTTGAGCTGTCACTTGCAATGGCCAGGGTCGCTTCTGAAAAATCATTTACGTCGTTCAGTGGGGCCTTATCTGATCAAATAAAATTAAAAATAAGAGCAATACTGCCTTGAAATCGGGCCCATCTTTTTAAAACACCCTGTGTATATATAGCAAGGCAGTAGCCATGGAGTCAACATTGGGGGGAACCAAATCTTTCAGGGTGTCTGGGGGTCCCAACCCAGAAAAATATCTACATTTGAAAACTCATTTCCTGCCTAAAATATTAAAAAATGCACTAACACATGGGATGGAATTTATTTTTTACAATAATGTCTAATAGTGTATTGTATTACATAGCTCTTTTCGATTTAAAGCGTTCGTGACTGCAGCGATTCATCTTCTTGGTTCTTTCGGTAAAGTCACGTAGAAGGGAAGTAATAAAATAATAAGAGTATTTTATTATGTTTTATTTTTATTATTTTATTATTTCCCTTCTACGTGACTTTACCGAAAGAACCAAGAAGATGACAGTGCTCTGTTGAACTTTTTTTTACAATTTCTTGTTTCATTGTATGTAATGGCAGAGATTAGGGATTAGTAAAGTACAACCATAACCACAATCATATACACAGAAATCTATGCATTGATTTCTATGAAGACAAGTCCAGATATTGTGGCCAAGGTTTAGCAAATTGTTGTTTTTATTTACACAGCATGGCAATGTTTTTTATAGCAATATATCGGGGGAGGGGCATTTTGAGAAAATTTAAATATTGGGGGGGGGATGTCTGTCCCACCAATATGTATTATAATTAGGGCCTTGATATATAGTGATATATAGCGTACTTTTTGACTGAACAACTTTCGTTACTGCAGGAAATCATATATTTTGCTTCTTACGGGAAAGTCCCGTAGATAGGAAATAATAAAATTAAAATAATAAAAAATGAACAAAAAAACAAATACTTACGACTTTAAATTTCGATTTAAAGCTTTCGTGACTGCAGGGATTCATCTTCTTGGTTCTTTCGGTAAAGTCACGTAGAAGGGAAATAATAGAATAAAATAAATATAACATAATAAAATACAATTCTCACGACGTTTCGGCCACAACGCAAGCAGCCGTCCTCAGGTGAAGAACAGGTCTGTCGGAAAGACAGCGTCTGAATGGACATAATAAGACAGTGTTTGAATGGACACTGTCTTTCCGACAGACCTGGTCTTCACCTGGTCTTCACCTGAGGACGGCTGCTTGCGTTGTGGCCGAAACGTCGTGAGAATTAAACTTTATCATGTTGAATTTTTATTATTGTATTATTTCCCTTCTACGTGACTTTACCGAAAGAACCGAGAAGATAAATACTTACGAAGTTTCAGTTTTTTTTTATTAATTTGTATTATTTTATTTATTTTATTTATAGTGGAGTCGTTCTAATTGTTTGCTCGCCCCCGACTCTTCCAAGTTCCACACCTGGAGATGGAGCGGCTCGGCACCAAGTCCAACGTTTCGCTATCACCACGCGCTGCTGGGTTGGCAAGCTCCCTTCGGCAGCTCTGGAACTCGGTTCCTGAACAGCTAAAAAGATGAAACTCGGCACGTGCAGCGAAACGTCGGACATCTTGCCAAACACCGCACCACCGACTACAGCGCCAAGCTGTGACGACGATGGGGTCACCGTGGCTGGGTGGCCGTTGTGTTGTGAGAGTCACCACGCTCGTGATTGATTGATCGATATCTCTTTTTTTTACGATCAGTGGAAACAAGAAGATGCTCGGTGTAGTCGGCACTTTGCTTTGTTCATCATTTCGTAATTTTTTTTTTTATAACTTTGCTTTATGTAAACCCCCACCTCTCGCTCGCTCTCTCGCTCACTCTCTCGCTCACCCTCTCGCTCACTCTCTCGCTCTCTCTCTCGGTCACTCACTCGCTCACTCTCTCGCTCACTCTCTCGCTCACCCTCTCGCTCACTCTCTCGCTCACTCTCTCGCTCACCCTCTCGCTCGCTCTCTCGTTCTGCACGCAGCCCTTCTCGCAGTCCGACGACCTCCGACGGGTAGCTCATATCAGCACGCAGAGCTCCCCGTCATCTGCCACCGAGCACACGGCCTCCTCCATCGCCCACTGCTCCTTGAAGGCCGGCACGGCGTGGGTCAGCCGCGCACGGCGGAACTCCAGCCCACACACCCTGGCTCCGAGCAGAGCGCTCTCTCTGTCGATCTCTCGATCTCTCCCACCACACACACGTGTCGGTGATGTGCAGCGCGTCTTCTTCGAGCGCTGGGGAGCCGGACAAGCCCCTCTCTGCACCAGCGTGGACGGCACCCTCGTGGTGTTCACCTTCTGAAGCGCTCGCTCGTCACCGTGGCGTGCGCGATGACCACCACCACCACAACCAGCACCACCACCACCACCAGCACCACAACCAGCACCACCACCACAACCACCACCACAACCACCACAACCACCACAACCACCACCACAACCACCACCACAACCACCACCACCACCACGTGGCTTTTATTTCGTGTTGTGCGCGGTGCATTTAGCGCCACAGCGCGTGGATTTATAGCGATTGTTTATTTGTGTTGCTGGTGACTTTGTGTGTTTCATATCGGAATCGCCTCCAGTGCTGTTGCTGCTGGCGGCAATGAAAGTTGTTTAAAAAGTCAAAAGTCTCTCCTACTCTCTCTCCCCCTCTCTCTCACCCACTCTCCTACTCTCTCTCTCTCTCTCCCCCTCTCTTTCACCCACTCGCATTCCACCGGCCGCTAAACACGTGCCGAGCATCGCGCTGTGGTGAAACGCAATCCCCTCCCTCGGCGCTCTCCCTCGCTGCTCTCTCTCGCTCTCTCTCTCTCTGCTCTCTCTCTCTCTCGCTCGGCTCTATCCTCTCTCGCTCTCTCTCTCTCCGTGCGGCGTCAATCCCTCAAGTCGAGAGGGGACGGTGCCTTGCGAGTTGCCGATCCGCGTCTCGCTCGAGCCCGAGTCTCAAGACCCAGTTGTCGGGAGAGTCCTGCCCCCGTGCCAATGTGTGCCCGTCTACCTCCTCAACCTCATCGTCATCCTCCTCGTCATCCTCCTCGTCCTCCTCATCCGCGAGGCGAGATTTAAGGGGCGCTGCTGCTGGAGTGCCGAGTGGCACGGGCTCGAGGGCTCGAGGCGGCAGTGGCTGAGTCGGTGTCGCGGCTCCGTGCTGACTCGGGGGGGGGGGGACTGCTGCTGCTCGAGTCGCGGCTCCAGCGCAAGCGTCGGGACCGGTGACAGCGGCTCGGGTCCAGGGCGAGAGACAGGGCGAGAGACAGGGCGAGAGACAGGGCGAGAGACAGGGCGAGAGACAGGGCGAGAGGCAGAGCGAGAGACAAGGCGAGAGACAAGGCGAGAGACAGGGCGAGAGACAGAGCTGGTGCCTAGTAGCAGGGCTGGTGGCTAGTTCTAGATTTGAAGCTTTCGTGACTGCAAGTGGCTAGTGCCAGGGATAGATTCAAGGCTAGTACCAGGGCTGGTGCCAGGGCTAGTACCAGGGCTGGTGCCAGCGAGGTCTGCACACAGCTCTGACCCTGCGCACCGAGTCATGATGAGCTCCGCGGGGAACCGCTCGGCCGAGAGCGGTGACGACCACCACCGCAGCAGCAGCAGCAGCAGCCACCACCTCCTGCTGCAGGGCCAGCAGCAGCTGCTGGCGCTGCAGCAGGAGCTACTGCTGCTGGCGCTGCCCTCGGCGAACTCATCCTCGGCTCACGACTTCCCTGCGACCGCCGCCGCTTCCATCAACGGCCACCACAACCGCAGCCACCAGCAGCACCATCAGCAGCACCATCATCAGCAGCAGGGCGACTACGACGACGCCGACTCGCGGTCCGCTATGGCCATCGCCGTGGTGCTGTCCGCGATGTTCGTGGTGGGAGTGGCGGGCAACGTGTACACGCTGGCGCTCGTCACGAGGCACGCGATCGCACCGCCGCGCTGCTGGAGACGTCTTCTCCGACTCCTCGCCTCTCGCGCGCCACCACCACCACCGCACCACCTTCACAACAACCACCACCACCAGCAGCAGCAGCATCCTCCGCTGTACACGTCGATGGTTCCATCGCAGCAGCAGCAGCCACTGACGACGCCGACGCCGTCTTTGCGCCGACGTTCCGCGTCCTCCACCTCCTCCATGTACGTGTACGTCCTCAACCTGGCGCTAGCCGACCTGCTGTACGTGGCCACGGCGCCCTTCGTGGCGTGCTCCAACGTGGCGCGCACGTGGCACTTCGGGGACGCGGGCTGCCGCCTGCTGCTGAGCGCAGACCTCCTGACGACGCACGCGAGCGCCTTCATCCTCACGGCGATGAGCGTGGAGCGCTACGCCGCGGTGCACCGCCCTCTGCGCTCGCTCGAGCGCGGCCGCACAGCGCGTCGCCTCGTGGCGCTGGCCGCGTGGCTGGGCGCCTTGGCGCTCGCCCTGCCCGGCATGGTGATGGTGCGCATGGAGGAGGTGGCCGTGGTCGTGAGCGACGACGGCGCCGGCGGTGGCGACGGCTCGACCCGGAGCGTCACGAAGCGCGTGTGCGAGCCCACGTGGAGCGAGGAGGCGCACCGCGTCTACATGAGCGCGCTCTTCGCCACGGGCATCCTGGCTCCGGGCGTCATCATCGGCTGCGTCTACGCGAAGCTGGCGCGCACTTACTGGCGGTCGCAGACTGCGATGGGCGGCTTCGGCCGGTGCAAGGTGGACGGCCGAGGCCGCTCGCCGCACTCGCCCCGGCACAAGGTGCTCTACCTCATCCTGGCCATCGTGCTCGCCTTCTGGGCCTGCTTCCTGCCCTTCTGGCTGTGGCAGCTGCTGCAGCTCTACCGGCCCCACGTGGCGCTCGCCTCGGTGCGCACCGCGCGCGCCGTCAACCACGCGGTCACGTGCCTCACGTACGGCAACAGCTGCGTGAACCCCTTCCTCTACACGCTGCTCACCAACAAGTACAAGGAGTACCTCGCCACGGGCACGCGGAGGAGGAGGTGGCACCGGCCGCGTGACGCCGCCGGCTGTGGCGCGGGAGGAGGAGGCCGAGTTAGGGGGGGCTCAGACTCGGCCGGGGGGGGGCCCTGGACGCGGAGAGACGCCGCGCTGCTGCCGCTGCGATCGGCGTCCTCGAGCAGCCGCGCGGAGACCTCGCCGAGTCTCGGGGGGCGAGGAGGAGGTGGAGGCAAGGAGGAGGCGGAGGAGTTCGCGGTGGACGAGGACGAGTTCTGAGACGGCGCTGACGGGAGACGAGACGGGGGGCGGCTGTGGATGACACGCGGAGACACGTGAAGACACGTGGAGACAACTGGAGGCAGATGGAGACACGTGGGGACACGTGGGGACACGCGGAGACACGTGGAGACACGTGGGGACAGGTGGAGACACGTGGAGACACGGGAAGACACGTGGGGACACGTGGAGACAATTGGAGAAACGTGGAGACTTGGAGACACGTGGAGACAACTGGAGGCAGATGGAGACACGTGGAGACTTGGAGACACGGGGGAGACACGGGGAGACACGGGGAGACACGTGGGACAGATGGAGACACGTGGAGACAGATGGAGACACGTGGAGACAGATGGAGACACGTGGAGACACGTAGAGACGCGCGGGGACAGATGGAGACACGTGGAGACACGTGGGAACAGCTGGAGACACGTGGAGACAGCTGTAGACACGCGGAGACAGATGGAGACACGTGGAGACAGATGGAGACACGCGGAGACACGTGGGGACAGATGGAGACACGTGGAGACACGTGGAGACGCGCGGGGACAGATGGAGACACGTGGAGACACGTGGGAACAGCTGGAGACACGTTGAGACACGCGGAGACACGCGGAGACAGTTGGAGACACGTGGAGACTTGGAGACAGCTGGAGACACGTGGAGACACGTGGAGACACGTGGAGACACGCGGGGGCACGTGGAGACACGTGGGAACAGCTGGAGACACGTGGAGACAACTGGAGACAGATGGAGACACGATGAAACAACTGGAGGCAGATGGAGACACGTGGGGACAGCTGGAGACGCGTGGGACACGCGGAGACACGCGGAGACACGTGGAGACAGCTGGAGACACGTGGAGACACGTGGGGACGCGTGATAGACGCGGGGACGATGATGAATGAATGTGACACACATGTAACGTGTTACTCGAGTCATGCGCACATGCGTACACACACATACACATGCGTATATATGCACATGCACATGCGTACACACACATACACATGCACATGCGTACACATGCACATGTGTACACATGCACATGCGTATACACATGCACATGAACATGCGAACACACACACAAACACATGCACATGCGTACACACACACACATGCACATGCGTACACATATACATGTGTACACACATACACATGCGTACACATGAACATGCATACACACACATGCACATGCGTACACACATGCACATGCGTACACACACACACATACACATGCGTACACACACATATGCGTACACACACATGCGTACACATACATGCACATGCATACACACACACATGCACATGCGTACACACACATACACATGTGTACATACACATGCGTACACATGAACATGCGTACATACACATGCACATGCGTGCGAGTGGCCACCTATGCAGGCCGACACGGCACACGAGGGGGTTGTGTGTACACGTACAGACAGTGTAGAGAGTACATGCAGACAATGCGTTATAACGCAGAACAATCACCGCTATAACGCGTAACGCTCACCACTATAACGCAGAACACTTGAACACGTAGCACGCTTTCGCGACCAATATTATTCATAATAAAGGTTGTTGGGTGAGATCGCGTTATTTATAAATGTGTCGTAACCCTCCACCACCCGACACGGCCAATCAGCAAAAAAGTGTCACGTTGACAAAAGACAAAATAGTTCACTACTTTAGCCCCACACCGGTGTGTTGAAGAGTGAAACCACAACATTTACAGTTTTTTTAGTACTCTGACGTTTCGCTGGTAATTGCATCCAGCCATTCTGGCGAATTGCCCGATGATGCTGGATGCAATTACCAGCGAAACATCGTACTACTCAAAAATTGTAAATGTTGTGGTTTCACTCTTCATCACACCGGTGTGGGGCTAAAGTAGTGAACTATTTTGTCTTTTGTCATCGTGACACTTTTTTTGCTGATTGGCCGTGTCGGGTGGTGGAGGGTTACGACACATTTATAAATAACGCGATCTAACCCAACAACGTTGATTATCAACACAGAATACTCACCGTTATAACACAGAATACTCACCGTTATAACACAGAACGCTCACCGTTATAACACAGAATACTCACCATTATAACACAGAATACTCACCGTTATAACACAGAACGCCGTTATAACACAGAACGCTCACCGTTACAACGTCTCACTGAGCGTCGTGGTCGTGGCGGCGGTGACATCGCGACCTCGCCCGCCTGTAACCGCTGCTCCCCCATTACAACTTTGACGGCGACTTCTGTTTTTCACTCGACGCGTTTTTTTTCTTTCCCCGCACGCTTCAAAGCGACGTCCTTCGTGCAGGAACGCAACTCCCGCCACCGCCCGCGTTAAACGAGGACTGCCCTAGTAATAGGTTTTTACCCTTTCAACTGGTACAAAAACTGACACCTTTATACAAGCCATCATGTTTGCAATAACCACAACACAAGCAGTCAAAATGCAAACAAAAAGAAACAACTCTGATGATGATAATGATATGCACTGTTCCTTGAAGTTGATTGGTCCACACCCGAGACAGCTTTCTTTAGAGCCTAGTCTCCATTGGTGTTGGACCAGATGACGCCAAAAGGCGTACAACTCAAAAACAGCGGACTATCAGAGTATTGAGAGCTCGGGGTAAGCATTTACACTATGATACCTCCTTTACCGGTGGCAAAATATAATAATAGGTTCTTTATGTTTGCATTTTGACTGCTTGTGTTGTGGTTATTGCAAACATGATGCCTCGTATAAAGGTGTCAGTTTTTGTACCAGTTTAAAGGGTAAAAACCTATTACTATATTTTGCTACTGGTAAAGGAGATGTCTCATAACGAGGACTGCCCTGTTGCACGCAAAGGCAAAGATGCCCCAGGTAGCCTTTTGACAGGCGGTCGGGGCGAGCGCTGTTCGTGGCTAGTAGCCCGAACCGACGAAGGCCGTCGCTGCGAACCGCGGCGGCGGGGTGCGAGCTGATACCGCTGCCCGGCCGCCTTTGTCTCCCCGGTGGTTCTGAGACTCTGAACGGAGAATTGCACGCGGGGTGTGGGGGGCGTGAAAGTTCGACCCCCGGATTGTGCCCACGTGATGAGCCGGCCGTGGCGGGGAGGGGGGGGCTGGGGCTCACGATCTATCCGGCTCCCGTCGGAGCAACGTGGAATTTGCGACTCGCGAACTCGACGCAACACGCGGCGCTGATGAGCGGAGGCTCAGTGGAGACGATGGGGGTGGGGGAGATCTCGGTGTGCAGCTCAGCACACGGCAGATGCCTGCGCAGCGCGACTCACGACCTCCTCTCGATACCAAGATCCAGGATGGTCACCGTGTCTATGCGCCGCTTCTCGGTGGCAGCCCCAACAGTCTGGAACGATATCATCCCTCTGCACATTCGCAGCATCACCTCAATCGCCTCCTTCAAGAGACACTTAAAAACTCGCCTCTGCAATCACGCTTTTGAGCGACTCTGAGCTTGGCTCCGCGCCTCTGAGTTGCGGCCACTACGTCTGCAAATTTGCGCGCGTTACAAATTGAACTATTATTATTATGGGTGTGTGTGTGTAGGTGTGTGTAGGTGTGTAGGTGTGTGTGCGTGTAGGTGAGTGTGTTGGTGTGTGTGTAGGTGTGTGTGTGTAGGTGTGTGTGTTGTTGTGTGTGTGTAGGTGTGTGGGTGTGTGTGTGCAGGTGTGTGTGTGTGTAGGTGTGTGTGTGTGTTGGCTGCGTTGGCTGCGTCATGTAGCCCGCATGCCCAGCCACCGCATGCCGTAACAGCTTTTGTTCGGCCGGATCGAGGGGGCTAAACGGGCGCGACACGGGCTAGAGAAGAGATGGAGTGATGTGGTACAGGAAGACGTGGAGCTGAGTGGACTTGCCGATGACTGGTACCAGCGGTGTCAAGATCGGCTTCTGTGGAGGAGGCTCGTGAAGGACGCTACTGAGCAGTTGGAGGCAGTCGCCCTCCAACAACAACGGAGGGCGGAGGAGCGACGCTCACAACAACGAGCGGAGCGCCGGGTGGCTAAAGCACATCAAGTTAGTACAGTAGGGGGCACAGGTGGTGCATCAGCCAGTCATCTCGGTCATTTCAGTCAGTCGACCAGTGGCACCTGCTGGGTCTGCCCCGTGACCTCCTGCCAGCGGGCGTTCGACACTTCACGTGGCCTCAAGGTGCACATGGCCTGGCACAAGCGTCGTGGTGACGTCACCGCCACTTAGTGGCGAATGGCGGTTGTTGTTGTGTGTAGGTGTGTGTATGTAGGTGTGTGTATGTGTATGTAGGTGTGTGTAGGTGTGTGTGTAGGTGTGTGTGTATGTAGGTGTGTGTATGTAGGTGTGTGTGTGTGTAGGTGTGTGTGTGTAGGTGTGTGTAGGTGTATGTGTGTGTAGGTGTGTGTATGTAGGTGTGTGTAGGTGTGTGTGTGTGTAGGTGTGTAGGTGTGTGTAGGGGTGTGTAGGTGTGTAGGTGTGTGTAGGTGTGTGTGTGTGTAGGTGTGTGTAGGTGTATGTGTGTGTAGGTGTGTGTATGTAGGTGTGTGTAGGTGTGTGTAGGTGTGTGTGTTTAGGTGTGTAGGTGTGTGTGTGTACGGAGAGCGATGGTGTCGTCGGCGACCCGAGTTCGATTCCCGCTTGGTCCTGGGCCTCTCCCTAGGTCGACTCAGCGTCAAATGAGTACCTTGTGCAGTGTATTGACATCGCCATTGGGGAGACAAAGGCGGCCGGGCGTGGTGTTGCCCACCCACCCCCTCGTGTTCCGTGCCGGCCTTCTTAGTTTGCACGCTAACAGCACTTTGCCCCAACAGTCTGTTGAGGCTACGCGGGGGGGACTTTTGTCTTTGTGTTGTCTCTGGGTTCGTCTGCGCGCGTGTGATGAGTTCAACTCGCTGGTGCACAACCAGCTACTACTGCTGCTACTGCTCCTACTGCTACTCTTGCTACTACTGCTGCTGCTACTACTACTGTTGCTACTGCTGCTGCTACTGCTGCTGCTACTGCTGCTGGTACTGCTGCTGTTGCTACTGCTGCTCCTACTGCTGCTACTACTGCTGCTGCTGCTACTGCTGCTGCACCTACTGCTGCTGCTACTACTGCTGCTACTACTGCTACTACTGCTACTGCTGCTGCACCTACTGCTGCTACTACTGCTGCTGCTGCTACTGCTGCTGCTGCTACTGCTGCTGCACCTACTGCTGCTACTACTGCTGCTGCTGCTACTGCTGCTGCTGCTACTGCTGCTGCACCTACTGCTGCTGCTATTACTGCTGCTACTGCTGCTGCTACTGCTGCTGCACCTACTGCTGCTACTA